CTTATACCCTAAATTTAGTCCTCAGCACTTGTGTCCAAGGGGCGTGCCTTCTAGGAGACCCTGCTGCGCCTCCTCCAGTCAAGGCTGTGGTGGTCTAGTGCTCCACCCTGTTATACCTTTAACTTTCAGCACTGCCCCTTGTGGAAATCCCCCAACTACGTAGTTCAGAGACATCATGGCTTCGCCCCATTGCTGGTCTTGGTTTACCCCCATCTGGGCTGGTTAGACCACTGCACTCCCCAACTGTATCTTCAGTGGTGTCCTCTAATGCGCTCAGCTAGGGAGGGGACTTCATGTCTTGAGCTGGGGCTGACCCTGCAGCCCTCTCTGTGGACAGCTGCTCTGAGCAGGAATGATGCCCCCAAGGATTGCTCACACGGAATGAGGACTTCTCTCACTTTCTCTTTCCTGCGGAGCTATAAACAATACTCTCCTCTTGGGTGGATTAGCGCCCTGTTCCCCCATTGCCATCTTTTTTCTTTCCCCACTACTCTGTGGGCTGTAAAGACATGGGGGGTGGGGTGTCTTGTCACACCGTTGCTATCTGCATCTTTAAATTTTTATTTTCCCTTTTCTCTTTTGATGACATATGCATCATTGTGTTTAGTCTGGCTCTGGCTCCTCAACCTGGGAACTGTGCGATATGTACATTTCCCCCTGTGTCCGTTCTGTTTGAGCCTCAGTGGACACATGTACTTGTCCTTTTGTGCTTGGCTGACTTTGCTCAGCATTGTGTCCAACTCCTTCCAGGAGACGAGGTGCATCATTGTTTCTTCACTGTGTTTTAAGGCTGTGTAGTACTCCAGTGTGTGTACATACCAGAATTTTTTAATCCATTCCTCGACTGATGGAAATTTAGGCTGTTTCCAAATCTTTGTGATTGTAAACTGTACAGCAATGAACATTGGAGTGCATATGGCTGGAGGTGGCCTGTTTCTCGTTTCTTCTGGGTATATATATGCCCAGGAGTGGACTTGCTGGGTCGTAGGGTAACTCGATGTCCATCTGTTTTAGGCAATGCCAAGTCGCTTTCCACAGTGGCTGTGTGTATCTGCAAGACCACCAGCAGTGAATGAGAGTTCCTGTCTCACCACGCATTTGTTGCTGTCTCATTTCTTGGATTGGGCTATCCTTGTGGGTGTTAGTTGGTATCTCATGGTGGTTTTGATTTGCATTTCCTGGATGGCTAATGATCAGGAACATTTTCTCATATGTTTATTGACCATTCAGGCTTCCTCCTTTGTGAATCTTCTGTTCAGGTCATTTGCCCACCTCAGTGAGTTATTCATTTTTTTCTTATGTAGATTTTAGAAATAAGACCTTAGTCTGACATGTCATTACCAAATATTTTTTTCCCAGTCTGTGATCTCTCTTATTAATCTCTTGATGAACTCTTTTGATGCACACAAGTGTTTTATCTTTAGTATGTCCCACACGCCTATGTTTCCTTCCTCTGGGTGAGTATCCTTCATTATTGCTGATAGCCCATGTATTCCCTGTGTTAAGGGTCTTAGCTTTTGTCCCTATTTTTTTCGTTGATGATCCTGATAGTTTGGGGCTTGACCTTGAGGTCTGTGATCCCCTTGAATTTGTCCTTGTCTATGGGATGAGGTAAAGGTTTTGATTCATTCTTCTGCAGGTTGGTATCCAGTTTTTCCAGCACTATTTGTTTAAAAGGGCATCTGCTTCCCATTTTTTTGGAGGGGGTGCCTTATCAAAGATCAGTTATCTGTATTCTGCTGTTTTTATTTCTGGATTTTCTTTTCTTATCCATTAGTCCGAATAGCTATCGTTACACACCAGTACCATGCTGTTTTGACAGCTGTGTCTATCTAATCAGTTTTAAAGTCAGGTAATGTAAGCCTCCCCACTTTATTCTTCTTCTTGAGAAGTTCTTTCCCAATTCTGGGTTTCTTCCTTTTTCATATGAAGTTGGTAGT